GTTTGTGTGTGCGTTTGTGTGTGTGTGTGTGTGTGTGTGTGTGTTCCAGCTTGTGTACGTTTCAATATCGGTTGTATACATATCTTTCCTTGTAGACGAATCACATATACATATTCAACATACATAAATATACACATATACATAAAATACATATCTAAATACATATAAAAATTGGGCTAAGATTATCCACATACATCGATTCAGGTGTGGACAGGTAAGGTGAGGTTAATTAAAGGTAATAATGACCAGTAATGAGTAATTATCTGTGGTTACTGTAGGAGCGAGAGGTAGAGAGAGAGAGAGAGAGAGAAATAAACAGATACTTACCACCATGGAGAGACGGGTAGATATTGAAGGAATTATCATGGAGCCAGGAGGTGACAGTCACGTATTCTCTGACGTAGGAAGGAACAGCACACCTGAGTACAGCTGTGTTACCTGACATTACCAGTTGATCGTACACCTGCACCTCGTACTCCCCCACCACAACTGTAAGGTAATTAAGAGCAGGTGTTATTGGTGATTGATATTGGACAGGTGTTAATGAGGGTGATTATGAAGGTGGACAAGTGTTAATGAGGGTGATTATGGAGGTGGACAAGTGTTAATGAGGGTGATTATGAAGGTGGACAAGTGTTATTGAAGGTGATTATGAAGGTAAACAGGTGTTATTGGTGATTTATATTGAACAGGTGCTAATTAGGGTGATTATGGAGGAATACAGGTGTTATTGCTGATTGATATTGAACATCTGTCATTATCAAAACACATCCAGGTAAACATCTGTTAATAAAGGTGAGAATACTGTACATCTGTTAATTACGACACCTGCTTCTACCTACATCCAGGTGAGCATTTGTTATTAATGGTTTATACACTATACACCTGTCAGCTGTAGAAAGCATGAGCCAGTCATGTACAGACACACACGTACATACAACGGACAAGCACGAACAAGGATCACAAAAGCACGTGCAATAGTATAGGGTGAGATAGACACACGTACTAACACGTACATCCACGGACAAACAGGAATAAGGACCAAACAATCACGGACAAACACGAAAAAAAAAAAAAAACATAAAAAAAGGTCAAGAAACATAAACACCACGGACATACACGGACAAACACGAACAAAGAACCACATAAACACATACAATTAAACAGAGAGAAAGACAATGACATGTACAAACACGGACAAGTACAAATAACAATCCTACAAACACGTACAAATAAACAAAGATAGAGGGGAAACACGTACCAGCACGGACGATCATGGGCGTGGCAAGGAGTACGCCCCCAGGTGACGAGGCCGTGCAGGTGTACGTGGCAGCGTGTACGTGACTGTGGTAGTGGTGGGCGGGGAAGGGTGGGAACACAAGCGTCCCATTCTCCAACACTTGACGTACGCCCTCCATCTGTGACACATGACACAAGGGTTATGACACAAGGGGTTATGACACGGGGCTATGACACAAGGGGTTATGACACGGGGCTATGACACAAGGGGTTATGACACGGGGCTATGACACAAGGGGTTATGACACGGGGCTATGCTGAGGGTTGACACGGGGCTATGACCTAGAGGTTATGACACAGGGGCTATATTGCCTGAGGGGTTATGACACGGGGCTATGACCTGAGGGGTTATGACCTGGGCTGTAACTGAGGGTTATGACACGGGAGCTATCTTCCTAAGGGGTTATGACACGGGGCTATGACACAAGGGGTTATGACACGGGGCTATGACACAAGGGGTTATGACACGGGGCTATGACACAAGGGGTTATGACACGGGGCTATGACACAAGGGGTTATGACACGGGGAATTATGACACCTCGATCTGACGTACACGACTTATGACACAGGGAATTATAACACGGGGTTATGACAAACAGGGTGATGACACAAGGAATTATGACACCTATTTATGACACCTGTACAGTAGTAGTAGTACAGTATTTATATAATTCACATGATACTCGGGATGGTATAATTTCTTCTTTACACACACACATACACACACGCATACACACACATACATATACACACACACACACACACACACACACCTTGTTATCTTGCCTCTCCACAATTCTCAATTAACGCCAATTTAACGAGAAGGACATCAGCCAATCAGCGACAGGAAGCCACAAGACGTCGCCACACACCAAATATAGTAATCTGACCTCTCATTGGCCGTTTAAAAAGCACCATACCAACAAAACATCATTTCGTCCACCATCAAAACAAACAATTAGAAAACGGGAATTATCTCATAGAAAACGGAAAGGGATAACTCGTGTATTTTTAGTGACTTCAACTAAATTATAATCCCAGAAGTTAAAATTGATATTGTATGTTTAATATAGCTCTATGGTTTAATTATTTGATATGTAATTAAATAATCGCCATTTATTTGTTAATTTAAACCATAAAAACTACAAAAAATATTAAAGAGAGAGAGATAAAGAGAGAAAAGAAGAGAGAGAGAGAGAGAGAGAGAGCACCAAATAAAACAAATTTTGATTAAAACAACTAAAATAATAATGTTTTAGAGAAGAGTTGAGTCAAATGTTTAATATATGAATTTCACCGACTAATTTCCCTGCCTCAATCAATCACTGACTTCGTTTTCGACATATTAAAACGAACGTAGAGCTAAATTAAATTGTTGTGTATCAATGTTTGCATACCTACACTGTCTAGGTACATTGTTTGTATACCTACACTGTCTAGGTACATTGTTTGTATACCTACACTGTCTAGGTACATTGTTTGTATACCTACACTGTCTAGGTACATTGTTTGTATACCTACACTGTCTAGGTACATTGTTTGTATACCTACACTGTCTAGGTACATTGTTTGTATACCTACACTGTCTAGGTACATTGTTTGTATACCTACACTGTCTAGGTACATTGTTTGTATACCTACACTGTCTAGGTACATTGTTTGTATACCTACACTGTCTAGGTACATTGTTTGTATACCTACACTGTCTCGGTACATTGTTTGTATACCTACACTGTCTAGGTACATTGTTTGTATACCTACACTGTCTAGGTACATTGTTTGTATACCTACACTGTCTAGGTACATTGTTTGTATACCTACACTGTCTAGGTACATTGTTTGTATACCTGTACTGTCTAGGTACATTGTTTGTTTTTACCTACACTGTCTAGGTACATTGTTTTGTATACCTGCACTGTCTAGAGTACATTGTTTGTGCTCTGCACTATCTGTTATTGTTTGTATACCTACACTGTCTGAGTACATTGTTTGTACTGTCTAAGTACATTGTTTGTATACCTGCACTGTCTAAATTACATTGTTGTATACCTGCACT